TTTTTAACGATTATGGATCGATGACATAAAATTTCTTTAAAACGAAAAAAAAGTGTTTCATTATTTTTAACAGGCAATTTTTTTTATAAAAATTTTAACATATTTAAATACGCAAGTATACTAATAGCAAAATCAACTTTATTTTTCAAATGTTAACTATTATATTTTTTGATGGATTCCGGTGAAACATTTTATTTTGAAAATTTTGATAGTCAAATTATCAATTTCGGTTCTCTTGTTTATAGGATACATGGTCCTCTAAGGTTTAATAAAATATACATTAATACACTTTTAATTGAAATAATTGATATAAGTTTTATTTACAAGAGCTAAATAATTTTTTCTTATAACTATTTTTTATAACTAGAAATTTGAACCATAAGTTCCCTATATTAGTAGGTATCGCATGCCAAGTATGAATTTAGGAGTTGAAATTCTTTAAGAATTATTTAATAATCGTGATTTAAATTTTAAAATAAACTATTTTTAAATATATAGATAAATAGTCAATCTCAATATAGGTTTGTAATTAGCTTAGGCGTCCTTTAAACTGAATTAATTACAGATTTCCAATATTATTATAACAAAAATCAAATACTATTAGGTATTACCTTAGTCCTTACTCCTTAGCCACCTAATAAAGAATCCAAATTAATGCTATTGTAAGAAAAGTAGAATAGGAAAAGTACGAAATAAAATGTAATTTTCCAAAACTAAAAAATAAGAAGGGTTATAAACTTCAACTCCTAAATTCATACTTTGCATGCGATACCTATAAATGTAAGGAACCTATATGGTTCAAATTGCATGTTAATCTCACTACGAGAAGAGCAAAATAAAACATTGCACTTTTTTTCATTACACTATTTTTTTTTAACTAACATAGGTACATACCTGAGACATTAATGTCAACAATCGAATACCATTTACCAATTTACCATTATTATTTTAGTCACCGAATAAAGAATCCAAATTTATGATTTTTTAAGAAAGGTAACTTTGAATTAATTAATAATTACGATTACCTATAATAACAAATTAAAATATTAACAATGATTTTGATAATTGTATGTTAAAATAGAAATAATGAACTATGTTTGCCAACATTATTGTGTGTGGTTTTATTTTTTTTTTTTTGAGAGTGTCATTTGATTACCGATTAAGCTACTTAAGTGTATAAAAAGATAGTTATAAGAAAAAAGCTCTTGTAAATTAAACCTATACTAATTATTTTAATTAAAAGTATTTGTGCATATTTAACTAACCTTTAGAGGATCATAGTTAATCAAATAGAGAACTAAAATTGTTGATTTGAAGATCAACATTTTCAGAAAAAAAAAGCTTTACCAGAATCCTTTATAAAACAGGTATAATAATTACCATTTGAAAAAAAATAAAGTTGATTTTGATATTGATACACCTACGTGTTACAAAATTTTGAAATTGTTATAAAAAAATTGCCTGTTAAAAATAAAGAAACAAGTCTTTTTTGTTTTAGCGAAATTCTATGTCATGGATCCATAATAAATAAAAATCCAAGAGTATAATAACATAAGATTCACCCTGTATAATAGTAAAAATACGGTAATTAAATTAATAATGAAAATTGTTTTTTTGTAAAAATACATAAAACAATAGCAGTAGACCTATTTCTACACCGAGGGTAATTAAAATTGAGAATACTTGATAGTTCTGGACAAATAACCATTTACAAGTTGAAATAAAAATCTTAAATCATTTATTTTTCGTCTATCTTGTAAACTAACAATATGAAAAAAAATTAATAATTGCTGATAAGGAAAAGGTGGCTCACGAGTAATATGACATTTGAAGGCTAAAAACCGAAATATTAATATTGAAATAATTAAGAAATAATAGTAACCATAATGGATAAATATTATTTAATGGATTAAAAATTATTACAAATACATGTTATTATATGTCATTGTGGGACCATAATATTGATAATTTAATTCATTTTTATTAATATAATTTAATATTAATAAAAATGAACAATTTCAACACTTGTCTATCAAAGTATTTAGTGAGACTGAGTGCAATTGATACAATTTTATAAACGATCTATTTCAATTAGGGTTCTAACCTTTTTTCTTTGAATAAATATTAATTCTGTTGTGTAACATATTTGTATTATATTATATAAATTAGTATATATTAAAAAATTTTGAGGAAATGAGAGTAAAATAAATCGTACAAGCTGTAGGGGTACAATTGTAAAGGCCATCATTAAAAAAAAATACTACCTAGACAAAGCTTTCTAACATAATCAAACATAATCTAGATATTGATCATGTTACAATCGTGTTATATTTTTACCCAGTCACGCCTACCTACTTATGCCTTGGTAACAATTTTGTTTTCTAAATATTTACAGGGCACATATATGACATCAGGGATTGATAAGAAGTTGCTTGAAGATTTTAACATTCCCAAAGTATATTTTTATGGAAAATATAAAGTGGTGTTTCGCTATATAAAATTAAATAATGAAGTAGTTAGCTGCACTGTTGCGGAGTTTAATCTTATACGAACTTGGGAAACCCCAATTTGATTACACTATATGAAATAATAATATAATATGGTGTTAACTTATTATAAAGACTATGTATCTAATAAATATTTTTAACAGTCCCAACAGTAGTTAATTTGATTTGTCTTCAAGGGAGGGGGAGCAATATCCTTTTGGTCCATAAATTGTACATTTGACTATTTAACCACTTGAGCCAAATACTATATATGACAATACTGGGAAAACAATGATTACCATTGTAGACTACCTAGCCCACTGAAAATGCTTGAATTCGATATATATGACGCATATAACCATCTTAAAGCGTGTTCGTTAATTACTCAGGGGTCATACATGTGTCACTCGCATTGCCCTGTTAAAATATTTCAATTCTGTTTCCTCCAATTTTGGGCTTAGAATAGAATACAAATTGACGGATTAAAATTATTCGAAAAAAATCAATCGATGCAAAAATGATAATATTCAAAATAAGAGTTACCAAATTTAAAAAGAAATTAAGTTGATTGTAGATTCTCAAAATACATGAGTTAAAAAAATTGTAAGTCATAGGAATTATTATTATCCAATAGTCTAGTTTAAAGTCCGGCAAACATAATAAGAAAATATTTACAAGGCAATTTGTGTACCCTGTTTCCTCGCACACACATAATATTTGCTTATGTCCTTGGCTGTATTATGAGCAATATGACCACATGTTAGTCAGTCAATGCCACATTCCACTTTCCACTTAATGTGGTTACATAAATAATTACGAGATCAACAGACAACAAGAAATTACTATTTATAGTTTTATAAGTAGTTCATGATGTCTAGGGGTGGGACATGGCTCCTATAGGTTTCCCCCTAGACTCCAAGTCTAGGGCCCTACGATACAAATTTCAGAATATGTACCAAGTACCTAAATAGAAAGTAAATAAAACCATTTTGTAACAACAATAATTGATAACAATTGAAATATCAATATTGCAAATCAAAAGTTGATAGGTAGTAGAATAAGGTTAGGTTAGGTTAGGTTAGGTTAGGTTACAACAAACTTTAGAAAGCTATATACTTAAATTTAAAAAAAATTCAATAAATTGTGAAATAATAATTATTTTACGTTAAAGTATTTATATTTAAGTCATGTAAAAACATTTAAATTATTTGGTTTAAGTACTATTTATAAAACAATGCATGACACAGACACATCTCGTTAGTTGCTAATCTATAATCAGTATCTATTTCAGATCGATTTATTTATTATTTTTTTGTGTTGAAGTTGATTAAATAATGTTTATGATACGGAACATTTATTTTCCTAGTAGTTGTAATTTAAAAAATGTGTAGTGATATAATAACAATTGACAATAGGGACATGGGCAATTATGAAAACGTGATAGCATTAATTTTCCTATTGAATACTTTTATAATATTATGTAACACGGTATTATTATACATAATATTAGTAGTCGAGGCCACTTATACTCATCAATGTTAATTTAAATTTGAAACAAATATACAAACTATAAGTTAACATAAATAATTATTCCTAATAAAAATGTGTTTAGTATCTTTAGATAAACTTATAATGTGGCTTAATAGAATATTACAAATTTATACAGAATATATTATATTAACTATTATTAGGTACAGCATCACTAAACATTATTTTATGGTAAGAACAACTTTAATAATAAAGAACAATATTATTATATTTTATATTTAAAAAAGCATTGTTTTGATCATTATTTATTGAACTAATACTAATTATTAACTAGGTATAACTAACTGACTAACTAGTCTAAATAGATATTTCTCCATATCTTCAAAAGTGACTGAAGTGCAGGGCCGGCGCTAGCAAATATCGATGGGGGGGGGGGGGGGTATAAATATACGAATTTGCCGACTACATTCATAAATATGAACCACAAGTGTTGTCATGGTCGACTGTCTTACATGCAAACAACATGGCAAATTTTTGCGTTCAAAATAATCCATTTTATTATTAAATTAAATTAAATTATTGATCAATTTACTCTAATTTTAAAAATAATAGATACTAGAGTGAAATACACACTAAACGCAAAATTTGCAATATAACGCGTGTGTAAAAGAGAGTCTAATACTAATTATAATATCATATTATTTAAAAATGCAACAACTTCAACATTATGAATAGGTAATTGAATAAATTAAATTTTAATCCTTCTTTCCTTTAATAGTGACCATGATTTCACTGAACTTTTTAAGTCTATGCAATCCAAAATATCTTTGTTACTATAAAGTAACATTAAATGTTGGAGACGATCTGCTCCCATAGTCGATCGTAAATAGTTTTTAACGATTTTCAGTTTACTGAAAGGGCGTTCGTTTGAAGCAGTACTTACGGGAGCTGTAAGTACTAGCCTGCATAGCTTGTTTGCAGTTGGCAAACAAGTTTTACATTCTTCAAATAATTCAAATATTTTTGTCAAGTTATCCAATTTTTCACGTTACACTGGTGATCTAAAACTTTCAATTCGGCAATCACTCCATCATAGTCATTCATTTTAAAATCTTTGCATCCCGGTGGAAATAGTTCGATTACTTTTTTTACATTTTCTGTTGAACAAATTTGTTTCCATGGCATTTTAAACAAAGTAATCATTGGTTCAAATGTCACCAAAGATTTTTTTAGATGCTCATTCAATAAAACAATCAAAGTATTTAGAACTTTTTTAAATTCTACTCGATAAAAAGTAGGTAAATCAATCGAACACTGTGTGTTTGGATTTTGGTCAATTCTTTTTGGCAAAAGTCTTTTCCGATGATGGCGATTAAAATCTGACACTGGATCAATACCTAACTGTTCAGAAAATTTTATTGCACTGCTTACTAGGTTGTTCGTTGCTGTATCATCGCTGTTCATTTCATTTGAGATACTTATTGAATAATCAATCAACATTAAAGCATCAAGTATGTTCAATTCAGTAGCTTCATGTTTTTCCGTTAATATTTTGGTCTTGTATATTAGATTTTTCATGAACAATAAGGAAACAACGAAGTCAAATGAAAGAAGTTTTTTTACAAGTCCTAGTGCTTGATTTCGTGTATTTTTGTCCATGTCTTGCAAATTAATTATCTCCTGTAAAGTTTCAATTATTATTTCAAATGAAACCCACACAGCTTTTATAGATTCCGCACGCGCTGTCCATCTAGTTTTTGAAAGATTACGGAATTGTAATGAATTTTCTATGGTGGCTAATTTTGACTTAAGTTGAATGTGTCTTTTAGTGCTAGCTGAGAAAAAAACGTATAGATTTTCAAGTATAGAAAAAAAATCACATATTAAAATACTAGCATCACAACTATGCTCAAGAAAGGTGTTTAATCTATGAGCTTGGCATGGTATGAAAGGAATCATATGATCAGCTAGTTCTGATAATTTTTGTTGTGTTCCATTTATTCTACCTGACATACTACTAGCATAATCATAAGGTTGAAAAGCAATATTCTCTACAGGTAAACTATTTTCAACCAAAACTTCACAATTTTTTTCCGCAACACCTAATCCAGTTTTATCTTTTGCCTGGCATACTTCTAATAGCCTTTCTGATACATCCCCTAATGAATCTATGTAACGTACACAAACTGACAATTGATCACTTCGTGAAATATCCGGGGTAGTATCTGCCATAACAGAGTATATACCAGCATGTGTGACATCTTTTATAATTGTTTTCTTTACATCAGCTAATAACTTAATAAATTCGTTTTGAGAATCATGACTAAGGTATGTAGTTTTATGATTTCGAAACGATTTTTCCTCCAACCATCTTTTCATCACCGGTGAATGCCGAGATAATAGCAAAATAATTTGATTAAAATTACTATTTTGTTCATCTCCATCTCCTCTATATGCCAAACCTTGTCGAGCTCTAGTACGAGATATATCAAATAACATACATAAAATGTCCCGATGAAAACGTTTTTTATGGTCCAGCTCAATTGCTTGAACACGATTTGATTTATTCAACATGCAGTCAATATGATTAGAACTATTTAAAAAGTTGCTAAAATCATCTAATGCAGATTTATGAGATGACGATGTAAAATGTTGAGTTAATTTACCAGGTTTTTGCTTACCTCGTCTTTTCATTTTACTCCAGGCTCTAACACCATTTTCAACTCAAGCTGGATCAGCAAATTGCCTATTTGGACCTTTAGGAAATAATGTGCAAATAAAACAATAAGCAGCATCGTTTACTATACTATATTCCAAATGAGGATATTCAGTAAGCCATACTGAAGTGAACTGATTTTGCTTTTTTGGTGAAATAATGGAATTCTTAGGGTATTTGGCTAACTTAGGTTGACAGGGTCCTAGACTAAGAAGATACTTTCTTTGTGATAACGATCCAACTCGTTTTCTCTTTCCAGGATCATGTTCAAGAAAATGATCTATAATATTATCATTCTCTCTTTCTGGTGAAGGCTTTAATAAATTATTTATAACTTTTTCTGTAATTTCTATATACTTTTCTGATTTTATCCTTAAAGAAGACACAATCTCAGATGTATTAACTAAAAAAGATATAGGGTTTGGAGATATTTCTGTCTTAAGTTTTGTTAATAAAGCATTACATTCTTGAAAGCTGTTAATAATAGTTTCAAGCATTCCTGCACAAGCTATCCAATCATATTTGTCTACTTTAACAACTAAGAATTTCTCTCCTAAGAATAACATAATAAATATTATATTGTATTACATTACATGTAATATTATATTTGAAAATATTATAAAATAATTCTTTATGACATTTTTTATTTATAACAAAATATATACACTTTATAATTAATAATAAAAATATTTTAAATTTATCCGATAAGTATCTATAAGTTCTATAATGTTTATATACCAACACCATTATGGTACATGCATGTTTTTTTTAATCAAAAGGTCCACTTTAATATTTTTATAATGCACTACTTATGTTACTACTTGATGATTTTTACTAACCTGCATCTTCACCATCAAAGTCTTTATTTTCACTGCTATTATTCTCATTTACAACTGATTTTTCAACTTGAAATTCATTCTGATGTAAACAATTATAATAAAATATATAATTTAAACTTGTAATTTTAAATAACATGGGAGTATAAAAATTATTATAATAAAAGTAATTACTACAGGATCCAAAATATGTTTTCTATCCTCGGTGATAATTTCATCAGAGTGTAATTCTGTACTTTGAAGCGAATAATTAAAAAAAAATTTTGAATGAGTCACTATTATGTTATAAACACAAAACCACTCAAATCATATTTTTACAATCAATAAGTTTAGACTTTAGAGTGCAATGTTTTATTTTTATCAATAAAAATGTTAATGCTTACCGATTCTGTTACTTGCTTTTGCTTAATGTTTGTTGTAAACGGATCTTCTAGTTTTCCTGCATGCTTTTTTTCACTGCTATTATTCTCATTTACAACTGATTTTTCAACTTGAAATTCATTCTGATGTAAACAATTATAATAAAATATATAATTTAAACTTGTAATTTTAAATAACATGGGAGTATAAAAATCATTATACGTAATAAAAGTAATTACTACAGGATCCAAAATATGTGTTCAATCCTCGGTGATAATTTCATCAGAGTGTAATTCTGTAGTTTGAAGCGAATTCTTAAAAAAAAATTTGAATGAGTCACTATTATGTTATAAACACAATACACAAAACATCTCAAAGAATATTTTTATATTTCAAAAGTTTATTATTTTTTTTTTTTATTTTTACAATGAAAAAAGTTAACACTTTACACTTACCGATTCTGTCACTTGCTTTAGCCTAGCTGCATCTATAAATGGATTTTCTGGGGCTCCAACATGCTTCACTAAAATCTTTTACCCTCATGTTGTTTAGTTTCATGTTTTTTTCTATAATCATCATCAAATATACTTCCACATGCCAAACATTCTAATTTCGTTCGTTTTCTTTTTTTCGTATTTGTGCAATTCATAACGAACAAATTAATAAAACACAAACGAATAAATAAACTGTGTTAAGTTAACTTGGTATAACACTCTCACAGTCGTCACAGAAGTACAGAATAGCAATAGGCAATTGTCGACAATCATTATTATTTACTATCAATTATACTATATTGTAGCAGTGAAGTACGATCGTCGATCACAACAATAATCATTAAATCAAATCAAATATCTAAGACTAAGATAACGACGTATATTCCGACTACGGCTATAAAAACATTCATTGCCCTTAGATTCGGGAATTGTAGCCGTAGCCGTCCACGAAAAGTGTTTTTCTAATACCAACTAGCGGCTAGCGCAATCTAGTTCTATAGTTCAAATTTTTGCGACTATTTAATTTTATTTAGCGTATGGCTATATATGCCGACTATATAAATGGGTTATTCGTTGGTGGGGGGGGTATTGCACCCCCCCCCCCCCTAAGAGCCTAATTGATTTCATGACAAAATTACTGATTACTAAGAGCCTATTTTGCCTGAGGCCTTAAAATAATTTATAATATATTTACAAGTTTTCTTTTTTCATTCTTTATACAACGGTTTTCCACTAAGCCTTAAAGCTCCTCCACAATAACTTACTTTTAGATATAACTTTTTTTTAGTCTATTATGTGTGATGTGCCCATCCACTTGATTGTCTTAAGCAACATATTTCTTAAACCGCCCACTAAAATATAATGGTGGTAGTCAATAAAAACACAACACGACATTTGTTAATTTAAATTTAAATTTTCTGGGATAAGGTAAGCATAGCATAACAATATAATTATTATAAAGTATTAAAATACTTGGCAATGATGATCATCAACAGACAGCAATGCATTAAGTACATTTTAGTTGAATAAATTGTTATTAATCAGTATGTAAAAATGGTAAACAAACGTAAACTTTTTTGGAATCTAGGATATAAAACCCGGCTGCATACGAATTGCATGCCAAAAAAAAAAATGTCCAAATTGCATGCCGTCTCTTGTAGGGGTCTGTCCGAATTGCATGCCATCTCTTGGAGGGGTCTGTCCGAATTGGATGCCATCTCTTGGAGGGATCTGTCCGAATTGCATGCCATCTCTTAGAGGGCTTTGTCCGGATTACATGCGGTACACCACACGTTTATTTACTATGCACTTAAACAACTTAAACTTTTTTTTGGACTTTCCTAATTTTTTTTAAAAAAATTTATGTATAGAAACGCTCTTTTATGTATGGTTGTTACAACTGTTTAGTGATTAGTTTCTGAATTGAAATATTTTTATATCCGTGTAAATATTTTCCCAAACAGTATCTATATAGGAGTAATGTAGTGTATTGTGGTCTCGGTCTGTTTCACAACAGATTAATAATATTTTATTATTATGAATTATTATTATATATTATTTTGTTTATTTAAATGATTGTAATATTGTATGCCCAAAATGTCAAAAAAAACCACCAAATTTAAAAAATATAATATTATTTAAAATACACTCACTTGATTACCCTAAACTACAATAGTTTTATTTAACTAATGGCCTATGTTGTCGATGAAAAAAAAATAGTTTTATTTTATGATTCTTATTCACAGTGTCACATTCTATAATATTTATATGTTTTATTGTAATGTAACAAAATCCCGATCCTCCAGTTGAAAAGTAAGTTATTTATTCGGATATACCCCTCTAAGAGATGGCATGCAATTCGGACAGGCCCCTCCAAGAGACGGCATGCGAATCGGACAGACCCCTTCAAGAGACGGCATGCAATTCGGACAGACCCCTCCAAGAGACGCCATGCAATTCGGACGACCCGATTTATATTTATTTTTTTGGCATGCAATGCGGATGCACCGAAAAACCCACCACAAAAAAGTTATTGATAAAAAAGCTACGGCATCAAAAATCTATGGGACAAAAAAGACACAGATTTAATTTTTGCTAAAACAAAAAATTTATTACAATGTATTATTATTTATTTTAAAACTTTTCTTTACCTTTAACTTTTATTTAATTATTAAGGGGGCTGCAACGTAGCATATTTTAAGGAGTACTATTTAGGCAATTCATGTGACATATAAATTAATACTGTATTTACTATCAATGTGTGAGTAGTAAATGAACATTAGTGTGCGTAATCCATTATTATTTCCGAGAATCGCTGCACGTCGAGTCGGGCAACCACGCCGGAAACAACTCTCTCATGCGCACGCACAGATCAATTTATTGGAAAATTTAAATATAATATTCTTGTTTGCATGACTATAAAACTACTAAAATCGGTAGTAAATTAATCATACTTCACGAAGTTCGATTTTAATTTAAAAAAAATGGTTAAATTTAAAAACTTCTAGGCTATGCTTCTTAGGAAACACTTTTTTTATTTAAAATCAGATGGGCCAAAATAAAAACAAATGTAATGCAATTATTTCATAGAATTTCTAAAAAAAAAAAATTGTTATTTTAAGATCATTTAAAATTGAAAATTGAAATTCGACTTCCTAAGAAGCCTAGATATTTTATCAATGAATTCAAACATGTATAAAAAATTTAAATCGGACATTCTGAATTATTTGTAATTTACCACCGCTTATTGGTCTAAAACATATGAAGAATACGTGTGCTGCAGCCCCCTTAAACTGTAGTGGTTTTTAATTATTAGCACATATTGTTATCAGTTGTCAGTGATAACTTATCACATAACCTATTATTAATGTATACCGGTATATGGTAGTATGCAGGATGCACCGAAATCATTGTATTTTGTAAAGAACGGTTTTCGTGGACGACTGAAATTTTGAACTATTACTCAAACTTAGAATGTATGTTATAAGAGACAATAATATATACTATATTTATATTAGGAGAGAGCACTGCGAACATCTTAATTAAATTTTTTCAATTATTGTTCAACCCCATTTTTTATGGCCTCGACGAGGTATCGTTCAGCACAGGCCGCCTAGGCGAGCAGTCCGTTTGGTAGTATCTATGCCGAACGAATGATTCGTAATGCACTAATCGCCGTAAAAATCGTTTTATAGTAATTAGGGGTGAATTTATACCTTCTTGTAAGGCCCTAATCGCCAACGTTATAATACATTGTTTTGTGTAAGGCGCTAATTATATATAATTATT